AATATTAAATTTTTTAGTGACATTTCCTGGTGGCAGCACAAACTTAAAGAAGTTTAGATAATAGATTGTCAATTCTTTGTGGAATTAATCAAAATGGAGATAATCAGATGCCATATTATTTTGAAACTAAATCTACAAATTAATATGAAATTAATTTAAATGGAATGAGTAATTAAGAGTTTAAGATTAGCGATTTTTTTTTTCTTTGACAATTCTAATTCAGATTTTCATTCTTTTACAATAGAAATCAACAAATATCAATTTCAGAATGCTGATGTCTGTCTATATTCGTGTTGCAAAATTATTCACCATGTCACTAGCTTCCTATAATAACCCTTTCATTCGCCAATTCAAATTCCTCGCCAATAAATTCGTTGTTCCTTAACCGTCACACTGGAAAAAAATAGATTTAAAAACATATTAGTATTTTGCCCAATACTTTCAATAATCATTAAATGAATTAACATTTTAGAATTATATGAATTAACATTAAATGAATTAATATTATTACAAAGATCAGCATAACAGCAAGAGAATCTTTAACGTTTAAATACAGTTCGTTGTAACATCATCTTGTAAAATCTCTAACCTTTTCTGTATTACCTCTCTCCTAATTTTCTCTCTCTCTCTTTCTTTTTTTTCTATATCTCACGTTATTCTCTTTCTTTCTCCACATCCTCTTTCCCTCCTTCCCCTTTCTCTCTCTCTCTCTCTCTCTTTATCTACTTATCTATCTATCTATCTATATATATATCCCATCATTCTTTCTCATTCTCTTTCTCACGTTCCCCTCATTCTTTCTCTCTCTCTCTCTCTCTCTCTTTCTTCCTCTTTCTATACCTCCCAGCTTTCTCTCTCTTTCTCCTCGTCCTCTTTCTCTCGCTCTTTCTCACCTCCCTCTCATTCTCTTTCTCTCCTTACGTCGCTAGGGGAACGAGGTGGTCGTGTCGATCCACATGGTCGTCGAGGGCTCTGTGGAGGTCGTTTCCGTCTCGATCCCTGAGCTCGATGTCCCTGTGGAGGAGAAGGGTGACGTCACTTCCGGCCTTCCTGCCCTCCTTCCCTCCCTCTACATGCTTCCTTCCCTCCCTCTACGTGCTTCCGGGTGACGTACACTACATGCTTCCTTCCCTCCTCTCTGCTACATGCTTCCTTCCCTCCCTCCCTTCCCTTCCCCCCACATCCTTTCCTCCGTTCCTTCCCTCTCCCTCCTCTTCCTACATTCTTTCTTCCTCCTTCCTTCCCCCAGTGCCTTTCTTCCGCTCCTTCCTCCTTCCTTCCTTCCTTCCTCCCTCCTTCCTTCCTCCCCCGCATCCTTTCTTCCCTCCTTCCTTCCCTCCCTCCTTCCTTCCTTTCTTCCCTTCCTTCCTCTTCTCCCTCCTTCCCTCCCTCCCTTCCTCCTCTCCCTCCTTCCTCCCTCTCCCATATCCTGTCCTTCCTCCTTCCTTCCTTCGTTATTATTATTATCAGCATCGTTATCATAATTATTATCAATATTATTACTACCATTTTTGAACGTTAGTATAATATATTTCACTATTATGATTATCATGATTTTTTACTCGGCATTATTATCATTTTTATCACCATCATTATTATCATCTTGATTATCATTTTAATTACTAGCGTATTTCTTCATTATTATTGTTCTCATTATTACTCTCATGATCATTATCCTCATTACACCATAAGGACCGTAAAATTTCACAAATTCATAAATCCATAAACCTAAAACAATAACAATATGAATAATAATAACAATAATAACAATAGAATAAAAAATAAATAAAAAACAATAAGATAAATGCATAAATAAACAAAACCGCATCGCAACCCCAACCGAAACAGAATCGAATCCCCACATAACTCCACAAATTCATAAATCCATAAACAAAACAACAAACAATAATAATAATAATAAAGATAATAATAAGAAAAACGAATAATATAAAGATAATAATAACAAGATAAATGCATAAATAAACAAAAGCGCGTCGCAACCCCAAGCGAAACAGAATCGAATCGCCGACGAACCGGTGCTGACGACCTCGTAGTGGAGTTCGAAGCCTTTCCCGCCGACGGAGGGATCGGTGACGAAGCGGATCAGGACGCGGTTGCTGAGCGAGGTCACGGGGGCGGGGAGCGAGGAGCCGCACAGCCGGGACCTGGGGAGACAGGGAGAGGGTGAGAGAGGGAGAGAAAGAAAGAGAGAGAGAGGGAGAAGGAGAAAGAAAGAGAGAGAGAAGGAAAATGCGGGGAGAAAGAAGGAGAGAAAGAGAATGCGGGAAGCGAGGAGCCGCACAGCCGGGACCTGGGGAGACAGGGAGAGGGTGAGAGAGGGAGATGGAGACAGGGAGAGGGTGAGAGGAAGACAGGGAGAGGTGAGAGAGGGAGAGAGAAGAGAGAGGAGACAGGGAGAGGGAGAGAAGGAGAAAGAGAGAGAATGAGAGAGAGAGAGAAAGAAAGAGAATGCGGGGAGCGAGGATCCGCACAGCCGGGACCTGGGGAGACAGGGAGAGGTGAGAGAGGGAGAGGAGAGAGAGGAGAAGGAGAAAGAGAGAGAGAGAGGAGAAAAAAGAGAAAGAGAAGGAGAAAGAGAGAGTATGAGAGAGAGAGAGAAAGAAAGAGAATGCGGGAAGCGAGGATCCGCACAGCAGGGACCTGGGGAGACAGGGAGAGGGTGAGAGAGGGAGATGGAGAAAGAGAGAGGATGAGAGAGGGAGAAGGAGAGAGAGAGAGAGAGGGAGAGAGAAGGAGAAAGAGAGAGAGAGAGAGAGAAGGAGAATGTGGGGGAGAGAAAGAAAAGGAGAGAATGAGAAAGAGAATGCGGAGAGAGAGAGAAAGAGAGAGGAAGAGAATTTAGATACTAATAAATAATTTGAAAGAGATGGAGAAAGAGGATAACGAAGCAGGGAAGGGAGAGGCCGCGAGAATCCCGTCGATGAGGCCAAAGGAAGAAACGAAGAGGAGATTAAGAGAGAAAAGTAAGGAAAATAGGAAAAGGTAAAGGCGAAAATGAAGGCAAAGAAGGAAGGAAATGGCTAATAAAAGGAATTAAGAAAAAAGAAGAAAAGGAAAAATAAAATATTGCTTTTAAAATCTAAATAAAAAGATGAAAAAATTATTTTTCTTTCTAATAAAGTAAATTAAGAAAAGCAAAAGCAAAATGATGAAGAAAATCGAGAGCAGAAGAGAGAATAAAAACAAAAGCAAAAATTACATAATGAAAGAGAAAAGGAAAAAGAATATTTAATGTAGGAGAAGGAATGAAAATAAAAACAAAAAAAATAGAAATAAAAAAAATGAAAGAAATTTTGAAACAAAGCAAAAAAAAAAATAAATAAATAAAAATAAATAAAAAAAAATAAACAAAATAAAGAAATTTTGAAATAAAAGTAAAAAAGAAAGAAAAATATCAAAATAAAAGAAAAGAGAATAGAAATTAAGAGAAAGAATGGAAATAAAAACAAAAGATAAAAGGAAAGAAAGAGAAGAGATACTTCAAAAATCAAAGGAAAGAAAGAAAGAAAAAAATCGAGGAAAATACAATAAATCAAGGCAAAGAAAAAGGAAAAAAAAAAAAACAATCCAAGCAAAAACTCAAAGAAGAAAATATAAAAATGAAATAAAATAATGAATTAATAAAGGCAAAGGAAAGGGAAAAAAACTATCCAAACAAAAAAAAGAAAAGAAAAGAAAAAAAAAGAACGCAAGGCTGCAGGCCCGACCCGCCCAGAAGAAATAAATAAAAGAAAAGAAAAGAAGAAGTAAAAAACAAATTTGGAGACCGACCCGCCCAGAAGAAAGAAAGGAAAAAATAAAAGTAAAAAAGCTAGACATCTAGAGCCCGACCCGCCCAGAAGAAAGAAAGAAAGAAAGAAAGAAAAAAAAAACAATAAATCAAAGTAAAAAGACTATCTGGAAACCGACCCGCCCAGAGGCCGCCCTGGCGCCGCCGCGTCGAGCAGCTCCACGTAGTCGCAGCCGCAGGAGCCGCAGGACTCGACGTCGAAGGCGAGGAAGGCGAGCAGGAGGGTCGAGTCCTCCGGCGCCACGACCTCCCACGCGCACGAGAGGCCGCTGGGGTACGAGGAGGCCCAGGAGGCGCCCACGGTGCCCGAGGGCGCCGTCAGCACTGCGGGGAGGGGGGGGGGGGGGGAGTTCAGTGAAATGGATAAGGTGATGTGGAATAATGGATCAGGTAATAAGTGAAATAATGGATAAGATAATAAGAAATAATGGATGAGATAATAAAATAATAGATGAGATGATTGGTGAAATAATAGATAAGGCAATAAATAGACGGCCTTAGGGAATATATCCAATTAAATATATCCAATAAGAAATAGTTGAAATCCTTAAAAACTACTAAAAACTAAAAAAAAAGATAAATAAAAAAAAAATTAACGAACCCCTTATTCAAAACCCGCTTCCCTCAAACTCCCAGAGGATTCTCACCGCTGTGGGCGGGGCAGAGAGCGGTGGGCGTGGTCGTGTCCATCCACATCGACGTCGAGAACCTTGTGGAGATCCAGTCGGGCCAGTAAGTCGTCCGTGTGACTGAGGGCGTAGACGTAGATGACGTGGGTGAGGTTTCTGCCAGAGGGGTCGAGTCACCTGGCGGGGTCGAGTCACTTGGCGGGGTCGATTCAGTTGTCTCGGTCGAGTCACCTGGCGGGGAGGCACTGGGCTTGTAAATTACAGGTGATATTTTAGTAGTTTTTTTTTTATTTTTTTATTTTTATTATTTATTTATTTATTTTTTTTTTTTAGGTTTTATAGTTCTTAGTTTCATTCTTATCTCGTTATCTTCTTTTTGTACTCTTTTTTCCCTTTTTTTCCTCATTTTCTCTTTTTTCTCTTTTCTTTTCTTTTCCCCCTTTTTCTTATTTCTCTTATTCTATTTTCTCGTTGTCTCTTTCTCTCTTTTTTCTTTCTCTATTTTCTCTCTCCCCCACTCCCTTTCCCTTCCCTCCCTCTCCCCCCCTCTCCCCTCCCTCTCCCCCTCCCCTTACGTTAACGTACAAACCCGAGAAGATTCATATAAAAAACAAAATAGATAAATAAATAAATAAAAATATAAAAATATTCGCAAAATTCTCAGTGAACACCATTCGCTTCCTGAACAAAAATACCTGTGCTTCTGTAGCCATATGTTGTTGTTGATGTTGTTGGAGGCAGGCTGTGTTTCGTTGTATCTGGGCAGAGAGTTATAAAAAAGGTTATTTCTATTCTTATCTGGTTCATCTCTCTCTCTTTTATTTTCATTTGTTTTTATTCTCTCTTTGTCTTTCTCTCTGATGATGGTGATGATGATGATTATGATGATGGTAGTGATGGTGATGTTGATGATGATTATAATAGTGATAATGAAGATGATAAAGATGATGGTGATGATTATGATGGTGATATGATGATAATAATGGTGGTGGTAATGATGATGATAATGATGATGATGATAATGGTGGTGGTAGTGATAGTGACGACCTTACTAAAATCATGACAAATCGTATATGACGATGATAAATCTGAAAAATCGAATTTCCAGCAAATTAGCATACTCTCCTTATTTCCAAAGCAGATTTCCAAATAGAAGACATACCCAAAGACACAAAATAATACCAGCGATGGGTTTTGGCGCAGAGAAGTGAAAAAAAGTGAACCATGGGCCTTAAACTTACAAAAATCTGGAGAAGTCAGTCTTGGTGTTGTGGACATGGTGCTCGACATCGTATCTGAAACGTGTGTATGTGTATGAATTTATGTTATCATTATTATGTACTATTTTTGACTTTTCATGTAAACGGTAATCATTGGGACTTCTATCATGGTAAACATTAACAAACGTATACTATTATATTATCAAAACCAGTACTATTTTCGGGACTTTTATTATGGTAAACAGGATTGTTATGTAATCACTGGGACTTTTATCATGGTAAACATTGATGTTTGTTTATCTATCTATCAATTCTCTTTTACTCATCTCTCTGTCTCTTTATGTGTTTTTCTTTTTGGGTTGCTTATTTATCTATTTAGTAATGTTCTATCCATTTCTGTATTTATCTGCATACCATTTTTGTTTTATCCATTCTGATTTGTTTTTATCCATTTCTGCATAACTCATTACTGTATCTTTTTTTTTTTTTTTTTTTTTTTTTGCATATACAGACAAACATTACACCTCATTCGATCTCGACATTTTGCATAAGCTTCCGAACACCAGCTGACACAACCGAGGAAGCTTACCGACGAAGAGGCTGTCGAAGTGGAGGACGAAGCCGTGGCCAACGACGGAGGAATCGGAGCGGAACCTGACCACGACCCGGTTGCTGGCGGAGTAGAAGGGGCCGGGGACTTCGCTGCCGCACAGACGACCCCTGGGAAGAACAGGTAACTTGTGGTGGTAAAAAAAAAAGAAAGAAAAAATCCATAGTTTAAAGATTGGGAAAAGCAAGTAACGTGTGGTGGTAAAAAAAAAAAAAAAAAAAAAAAAAAAAAAAAAAAAAAAAAAAAAAAAAAAAAAATCCATAGTTTAAAGATTGGGAAAAGCAGGTAACGTGTGGTAAAAAAAAAAAAAAAATAATAATAATAAATAAATCCATAGTTTAAAGATTGGGAAAAGCAGGTAACGTGTGGTGGTAAAAAAAAAGAAAGAAAAAATCCATAGTTTACAGATTGCAACAACAGAAAATATGACGATCTCGCCAATAACAAAAACAACAAATTAAAACAAAAAATAACAAATAATCAAAACAATCCATACACCTTCGACTTCGCGACTGAAAACCCTTACCCTCTGAGGAACAGCCCGGGTCTCGACAGGTCTTCCAGCTCCAGGTAATCGAAGGGGCACCCAGTCGATCCCTCGAGGTCGAAGCTCTCGAAGTGGAAGTACAAGACCGAATTCTCCGACGTCGTCACCCTCCACTCGCAGTCCATGTCGTTGTCGTAAGTGTCGGTGTAGGTCGGTCGGATGACGCCGGAACCGCTGTCCAACTCTGCGACCAGTGGATTAGGTTCTTGGTGAGTTATCAGGGCTTTATATAACGTTCCCGACATCAGCAGCACTTCTGTTGACTCTTGTTGAGTGTATACAGATGCTCATGATCCTGATTCATGTTTCTTTTTTCTATGAGTGGGGATTCGAGGAATATGAACATGCACGAGCAACAATTGCTGTAGTTTCTTGAGCAACAATTGCCGTAGTTTCTCACCGTAGGTTCCATTGCAGTAGAGCGGGGGAGGTGGAGGCGGGATGAACGTTGTCTCAAAACGGAGGACGAAGCCGCGGCCAACGACGGAGGAGTCCGAGTGGAACCTGACCACGACCTGGTTGCTGCGGGAGTAGATGTCGCCTGGGATTTCGCTGCCGCACAGACGACCCCTGGGAAAAGCATGTAACCTTGTGCATTAGTTACATCATTTTTATAACGTCAACTTGAATCTGGTTCAAACTCATTTCCCCCCCTCCCCCATGCCCTTACCTGCACCCTGAGCGTGGTTTCTTAGACATTATGCATGCCCTGAACAAGGGCTCGATTGAACGGATAACTGAACAAATGACCTATGGAAAAAACAGGTAACCTTGTGTGTTAGTGAAACATTTTCGAAGACTTTGGGAGTGAAACAACACATTTTCATCATCAGTAGTAATGGTGGTATCCCTGCTTACAGTAGGTAACGTCAAAATACAAGGTTTCAATTTTGCTTCCGTAAGGCATTGATGCACAAGGGTGAAATCTGCACACCAGTGGTTGAGCAGTAAGGATTATGACTTCCTTGAACTTTATAGTTGAACTTAACAGGACACAACATTCAATTCTTCAATCAGGCACCTACTTGAATCTGGGAAAAACTCATTTTATCCCCCATGTGGATCCTGGGTGCGGTTCCCCGAACATGATTAACACCCTAAACAAGGATCAATTGAACGAATAACTGATGCAGAAAGACAGTGTGCATTATTTGACGTTCTTATCGAAGGTGAAGCCATAACAAACTAGAAGGTGAATGAGTGGTTAACACACCGAGTACCAGACCAACCACTAACCCTGTGAGATTATGACCAGGCATCGACAGGTCTTCGAGCTCCAGGTAATCGAATCCGCAATCTGCCGAGTGCTCCAGGTCGAAGCTCTCGAAGTAAAAGTGGATCGGGTATTGCACCGGCGTCGTCACCCTCCACTCGCAGTCCATGTTGTTGTTGTAAGTGTCGTTGAAGGTCGCTCTGATGTAGCCATAATTGCTGTCCAACTCTGCAGTCAGTGGTTGAGGCTCTTGTTATGCTATCAAGACTTGATATGAACATTCCCGACATCAAACAGGCTTGTTGACTCTCAATGAATTTAGGCAAATGATTATGATCACGAATCCCGTGTTCTACTGTTTATCAATGACGATTCGAGTAATATTAGAGTGCACGAGCAATAGTTGCTGTAGTTTCTTACCGTAGGTTCCACTGCAGTAGAGCGGAGGAGGTGGAGGCGGGGTGAACACTGCCTTATATTGGAGGATGAAGCCGCTGGCACCGACGGAGGAGTCCGTGTGGAACCTGACCACGACCTGGTTGCTGAGGGAGTTGATTTCGCCGGGGTGTTCGCTGCCGCACAGACGCCCTCTGGGAAAAGCAGGTCATTTTGAGTTTTAGTGACAGATTTTTCATAGCATCAGCCTACTCGAATCTGGTTAAAACTCGGTCTTTCACATCCCCCATGACCCTATCTGGGTGTGGTTTCTTAAACATTTATACCCTGAACAAGGATTCGATTGAACGGATAACTGTGAACAGAAGATTATGAAGTATTATTATTATTATCTGATCACAGGTAAAGACGTAAAAAAAATAAATCAGTGGTCGATACACCTACAAGTTCGAGACAAAGACTAAACCAGGCATCGACCCAGGTCCAGGTATCGAAGTCGCAGCTTGGGAGTCCTCCAGGTCGAAGTTCTCGAAGAGGGAAGTGGATCACGGAATTCTCCGGCGTCACCTCCACTCGCAGTCCATGCCGTTGTCGTAAGTGCCGTTGAAGGTCGGTCTGATGTAGCCAGAGGTGCCGTTCAACTCTGCAGACAGTGGTTGAGGCTCTTGTCATGCTATCAAGGCTTAACGTGAATATTTTCATCATCAGAAGTCTGTTAGACCCTTGTTTTATATACAAATGATAATGGTTTGTGTTTTCTTGTGAGTGAAGACTCGAGCAATATAAAAGTGCGCAAGTAAAACTTAGTACCTACCGTATGTTCCATTGCAGTTGGGTAGAGGTGGGTAGAAGAGGGACTCGAAGTGGAGGACAAAGCCGCGGTCAACGACGGAGGAGTCGGAGTGGAATCTGACCACGGCTTGGTTGCTGAAGCCATAGAGGTCGCCCGGGACTTGGCTGCCACACAAACGACCCCTGAGGAACACAGATACCTTATAGAATGGCTAAACATCTTCCATGACATCATTTATTAATACTGTCCGGCCGATTTGGAAAAAAAAGAAGGGCATAATAAATAAAGGTCAAAGGCGAATTGGAAATCGAGAAAAAAAAACAGACGGTCCCCTTAAACGGCACAGCAGAGAGGCAGAAAGATGAGCGACGTGTGTATACCGTTTCTGGATCAACAAGTTTCTGAAGGATTTCTAATTGAAGACCAATCAGGCTTGGGATAAGTGCACAAGCCCGGAAGAAAAAACACTGGAATATCACATCATATTTCGGATTCTCTTAATGAATATATGGCTGTGTGTATAGATGTTGATTTTACTATTCTGCTAGATAAAGAATTTGGCAGAAGGTTTAATCATTTAGATAAAGATGGAAGAGGAGAGCTGTGAAGTCATCCCTTGCTGTAAGAGGAAGCGCGGTGCCAAAAAAAAAGGGTCAAAATAGGAATATAACAAGCAGAAACATCACTCTGAATAACGACCCACCCAACAAGATTAACACCAGACCAGGCCTCCAACTCCAGGTCGGACGCAATCTGTCGAGTCCAGGTCTGAAGCTCTCGAAGTGAAGCGGACAGGGAGTTCCAGGGCGTCCTCACCTCACTCGCAGTCCATGTCGTTCTCGTAAGTACCGTTGTAGGTCGGTCTGATGTAGCCAGCGACGCCGTTCATCTCTGCAGTTATTGTGTGGAGTTTTTGAGTCGTGTTATCGAGGATTCGAAGGAACAGTTGGGACTTTAAAACAGGTTTGTTGAATAAACTCTTATCGAATACGTATAAAGGGTATATAATTCACAACCTACAAATGTTGATAACTGAGTAAAACAAAAGCTTCCCAACACCTCATAATCAAAGAAAAATGTTTAATTCTTACCATATGTTCCGTTGCAGACGAGTGGCGGCGGTGGAGGCGGTTCGAACACGGCATCGAAGTGGATGACGAAGCCGCGGCCAACGACGGAGGAATCGGAGTGGAACCTGACCACGACCCGGTTGCTGACGGACGTGATGTCGCCCGGGACTTCGCTGCCGCACAGACGACCTCTGAGGAACACAAGGCGGGGATCGTGGATTAGGGGAACCTTCGTCGTGATGTCGAGGACTAAGGACTCGAGAGAAGCAGTAAAGAATCGGGATGCGTGTGAGCGTTTTTCTTTCTTTCTTTCTGTTTTTTTCTTTTTCTTTTCTTTTCTCTTTTCTTAGACTAAACTATTTTTTTCTATTCTTTTAGACTAAAAACGTGTGTTTGTTTAGTTAGATGTTTGTAGACTGAATACTTTTCCGACCTTGTTATTTATTGATGATTTTGCAATTAAACAAAGGAATATATAAACAAGTGATTAAAAGAAATCTCTCAGCAAATAATCATGGAAATACTAGTAATGAAGACAAGAAAAAAAATAGAAAATGAGAGCAAAAAGAGCAGGAAGAGGACGAAGAAAAAGAAAAAGAGGAGGAAAATAGGAAGAAAAAGCAGAGAAGAAAGAGAAAGAGAATAACAGCAAAATGAACCCCTGGTCTGTCCACCTCCCCTGTGCCCCTCCCAGACCCCAACTCCCCCAACCCCCTCCCCTGTGGCCCCCAGACCCTCCCCCCCAGATCCCCTAGCCTCACCACCACCCCCCTCCCTAGACCCCCAACCACCCTCCCAACCACCCCTCCGAGACCCCAACCACCCCCTGTGCCATCCCCCGACCTCCTTGCCCTCCAGACCCCAACCACCCCCTCCCGACCAGAACCCCACCCTCCCAGACCCCAACCACACCACCTCCCAGACCCCCAATCCTCCCCAGACCCCCTAATCCCCAACCCCTCCTAGACCCAACTCACCCGAGAGACTGAGACCAGGCACCGACAAGTCCTCCACCTCCAGGTAGTCGTAGACGCAAATCCCGGTCGAGTTCTCCAGGTCGAAGCTCTCGAAGTGGAGGTGGACCAGGGAATTCCCCGGCGTCGACACCCTCCACGCGCAGTCCATGTCGTTCTCGTAGAAGCCCAGGATGGAGGTCCTGAGGTCGCCCGAGGAACCGCTCATCTCTGCAATTATTATTTTATTTTATTTTATTTATTTGATTATTATTTCATTTATTATTATTATTTATTTTTTATTTTTCTATTATCTTACATTATTTATTATTATTATTCATTTTTTTTTTGGGGGGGGGTTGTTATTATTACTGTTTATCTTTTATTATTATTATGTTTTTGTCTTTTGTTTTTATTGTTTATTTTTTTATTATTATGTTTATTCTATTTATCATTATGTTTATTTTTTAATTATTATTATTATGTTTTCTTTACTTATTTTTTATTAGTTTATTGTTATTTTTATCTTTTATTATTATTATGTTTTTTATTATTTTTTATTATTATTTCTATCTTTTATTATCATGATGTTCATTTTTTTTATTATTAGGTTATTATTATTATTTTTATTATGTTCTTGGAGCTTTGGAAGAACATTCTTGTAAGGATGAGGTTTTATGTTATTTATTTTTCTTTTATGAACATTTTTGTTATCGTTACGAACTTATCACATTAGAGTTTAACCGTCTTAAGAGAATATTGTTTTAGGTTTGTATTTTTTTAAGATTTCGCGTTTTTTTTTTTTCTTTTTTGGATTTCTTTTTTTTTGATTCGTGTGTTTTTTTTTTTTTAGATTTCGTTTTTTTAAGATTTCGCGTTTTTTTATATTTCGTTTTTTTTTTAAGATTTCGTGTTATCAAAGGCTTTTCTAGAACATTATGTCATCGTACAGACAACGATTAAGAACACCAAATATATATAAAGTGATTATTCCAAATTTATTGTGATTATTACTTATTCCTTTTCTTTTATGGATATTTTCGCATTATGAAAGTGAATAATTAACTCATAATTAATGATTAATTGATGATTACTTAATGATTAATTCATGATTACTTAATGATCAATTAAGGATTACTTAATGACTAATTAATAATTAATTAATGATTAATTAATTAATTCCTACCGTACGATCCGTTGCAGAAGAGCGGGAGGGGGGGGGGGGTGGGTGGAGGAGGGGGCGTGACGTAGGGCGGCGTCGACATCTCTGGATAAAAGATAAGCTGTTATCTCTCTCCTTCGTAGTGCTTGTTTTGGTGGATGTGAACCAGTTATGGGGAGTATGTGGGATTTTGAGGTTATGTGATGTTTTTTTTGTGTATTTGTTTGTTTTGTATGTGTGTTTGTGTGATTTTGAGGTTATGTTGTGTTTTTTTGTGTGTATATTTGTTTGTTTGTTTTTTGTTTGTGTGCGTGTTTTTGTATGTTTGTTGTGAGTGTGTGTGTGTTTTTGTATGTTTGTTGTGTGTGTGTGTGTGTGTGAATGTTTTCGTATGTGTATGTTAAAAAAAATCAAATTAAACAAATAATCATTAAAAATCAAAACAAGAATCACACATATTACATCCAAGTGAACCAAAACAAGCGAACAAAAAAAAACACAGCTCACTTACCCCGTCCAGTCGGTGTGACGTAATGAAGCAAGACGAAGCCAGTGCTAGTAACCGAAGAATCGGAGTGGAACCGAACGATTACTGGGTTCGTATGCGTGGTCGTTGGAGGCGAAGGGATATCATAGCCGCAGTATTTCGAGCTGTTAGGGGTAGAGGGGAGGGGTGAGGAGGTGAGGGGGGAAAGGGAAAGGAGAGGGAGAAACAAAATATAAGATGTAATCAACAAATTAACTCAATAGAAGTATATCTACAGGAAATTATACGAATGATATGTTAAAGCCCAGACTTCGGCGTCGATTAGTGTAGGAATCAATGTTTTCCTTTGTATCACGGCGTAGAAATGGCAAATAAATAATTACAAGCAAATAAAAGTACAAAATCAAACCAAATTTCAAACGACTTCATCGAGTAAGTCACAAAAATCATAATCCGAAGCAAGGGCTCTACCACCGCATCCAGACGAATCACCAAAATGGCGGGAAACTGTTCCTCACCTCTCTCCGCTTCCTCCCTGGACCTCCAACTCCACAAAATCGAAACTACACTCAGTCTGGTACTCGATGCTGAGCCTCAGCCACACCAAGGTCAGCTCATGACCCGGGCTGACCTCGATTCGCCACTCGCAGTCCAGGTTGCTCTCGTATAGGCTGACCTCTGACCCCATGCTGATGACCCCGTAGGTTGAGTTGATTTCTGGGAGGTCACATTTGGGGGGGGGGGGTAAATAATATTTTTTCTTGTGTTTTTATTATCGTTACTATAGTTATTGTTGCAGGTTTGTGATAATCGCCATAATTACTATCATTATAATCAGTATCATCATCAATACTGTTATTATTATCATCAATACTGTTATTATTATCATCATTACCCTTATCACCATCAGTATCATCATCATTATTATCATCATCATAATTATACAAATCATCATTATCATTATCATCACTGCTACGTTGACCGTTATCAAATCTATCATCATTATTATACCTACATAATAATAAGGCCATTAATGATAATAGCAGTAGTAGCAGTAGTAACGATAACGACAGAAATAACAATAATAATAAGAACAAGAACAATAATAATCTCAAAATTTTAAATACTGCTAGATTTTTTTGTTTACCTTTTACACCACTGCAGACTGGTGGCGCCTCCGTGGTCGTTCCAGCTGGAAAATGAAAATGAAAGAAGACATATTTATTATTATGGTAATAACGGAGTTGATGAGGATGAGGAGAATGAAAATAACAAATAAGAAAGAAGAGGAGAGGAAAAAAAGAGAAGAAAAAGAAAATAAAAGACGAAGAAGTAAATAAAAGAAGGAAAGAAAGAAAAAAAAGACAATGAAGAATAAGAAAAAACGACGACGAAGAAAAACAAGGAAGAAAAGACAAAAAGACGAAGAAGAAAAAATAAAAACGAGGAAGAAAAAAAAAGACAAAAAAAAAAAGGAACAAAACACACACACAAAAAAAGACGAAAATAATCAGACAAAAAAAAAAAAAAAAAGAAGGAAAAAAACACACACACAAAAAAAAACGAAAAATAATCAGACAAAAAAAAAAAAAAAAAAAAAAAAAAAAAAAAAACGACGAAAAATAATAATCAAAACAAAACCCACAGAATCTCACGTGGTGGCAGACAGCACATGCACTGCTCTCCCTCACAGCCGGCGGCGTCGACGAATCCCGAAGGACAATCTGCCACGCCCTTCACGCAGGAGCCGCCCCTCGCCTGGCATCCCGGCGTGATCCTGCAGGAGGCGCAGCAGATGCAGCTTTCTCCTCTGCAACCGCCCTGCAACGCTTGCTCGTCGGGGGCGCAGCTGGATTTGCAGATGCCGTTGTTTTGCAAGCATTGAGAGCGTGTTTTGAAGGGGCATTCTGGGAAAGAAAGAAAAAGGAATAGATAAATAAAAGAAAATAGGATTATTAAAATGAAAATAGATAAGTAGAAAAAGAAAATAAAAATGAAAAAAATAAACTAAAGAAAAATTGATAATAAAGTTAAATAGATAGATAAAAAAAGGATATATGAAAAATAAGTCTGAATTAGTTGAAGTAAAACGACCACAATTATATATATATATATATATATATATATATATATATATATATATATATATATATATATAACAGATCAATAACGCAATAATTCATTTTAATTCAGTCTAGTTTCATCAAATGAAATCAAACTCAATTCAGTCATATCAAAACGCATTCGATTCTGACCTTCGTTAAACGTCAAACCCAGATGAAATAAATCATACAAGATCAAATAAGCAAATGAAGATAAATAAATGAATTAGAGAAAAAAAGCAAATTGATAAATAAATAAAAAAACATCATATAAGATAAAGTACACAAAAAAGTAATTTAATTAGTTTTATAAGACAGAATTAAGACAGAAAAAAATATTTAAAATTACATAAAAAAACAAACATTAAATCATACAAGACCAAAAAAAAAATAAAAAACAAAAAATAAAAAAAAATAATAATCAATGAATAAAAAATATATATATATATAAGATTAAACAAAACAATTTTTTTTACCATCACAGCACACGTCGCTTCCGCCACCGCACGCCCCAGGTCTCCCGAGGGCGTGGCACACCCAGGCGTCAGAGGGGAGGCAGCGACCGCCGTAGAGTGCACACATCCCGCTCTGGGCGTGAGGAGAAAAGAGAAGAGAGGGGAGGTTTTGAAACGAGGTCGAGAGTTGGATAATGGGGGTTATGGTGGGGTTTGAGGGTTATGTTTGTGTGTGTGTGCTTGGTTTGTTCTAAGAGTGAGGGGAAAAGTGAGGGGGTCATGGTGGGGTTTGATGCTGGAGTGTTATGTTTGTGTGTTTGGTTTGTTCTGAGAGTGAGGGGAAAAATGAGGAGAGTTTGAGGTGTTTGAAGCTGTGAGGATTATGTTTGTGTTTGTGTTTGGTCTTAGAGTGAGGGCAAAAGTGAGGGTGTTTGAAGCTCTGAGGGTTCTGTTTGTGTGTGAAGGGGAAATTGAGGGGAGTTTGAGGGGTTTGAAGCTGTGAGGATTCTGCTAGTGTGTGTTTGTTTTACTCTGGGAGTGAGGGAAAAAATGAGGGGAGATTTTGAAGGGCGGTCGAGAGCTGGATGAGGGGAATTTGAGGTGTTGGAAGTTGCGAGGATGCTGCTTGTTTATGTTCGTTTTGAGTGAGGGGAAAATGAGGGGAATTTAGAGATATCTGTAGCTACGAGGATTGCGTTTGTGTGGCTCTGGGAGTGAGGGGAGAGAATTTGTATGTGGCCGCGTTTGAATGTACACAATTTTGGGAGTGAGGGGAAATTGAGGGGGAATTTTCGGAGGAGGTCGAGAGCTGGTTAAAGGGGACTTTGAGGGGTTTAAAGCTGTGGGATTAGTTTGTGTCTATGTCAATGTAACTTTGAAAGTGAGGGGAATTTTTTTGTGTCTGTGTCTCATAACTTTTTGAGTTATCCTGCTAGCCAAGTAACGAACGACCAAACTAACTTAACACTTCCAAAATACATAACCTTTTTGGCAGACTTAAAACCAGAAATAAAATGAAATAAGCTAAATCGAGGGATCTAAAGTAAAAGAAAAATAGAAAATAGACAATCAAAGGTGAAATGAATGACAAAAATAAAGAAATGAAAATAAATGAAAATTGATAAATAAATGAATGAATAAAAACATATAGAAACATATAAAAAAAATACGTGTATACATATGAACACACAAACAGAACAAAGCAATCAATAATGATACAGTAACGAAACAAAAATAAAAAAGTGAATAACGATAAGATAATAAAGAATGTAAGAGAGAAGGAAAACCAGAGAAAATAAACGTAATATTTATGAAGAAAACATAAAATAGAGAGTGAAAAAAATGATAGATCGATATATGCAAATATCAGTATATAGAGATATATAAATAGAGGGAGAGAGAGGGAGAGAGAGAGAAAGGGAAAGTGAAAGAAAGAGAGAGAGAGGGAGACAGACAGACAGACAAAGACCGACAAACAGAGAGAGAGAGAGGAGGGGGACAGACAAACAAACAGAAACACACAAAGAACCACCCAAAAACAGAAACAGAAACAGAAAAAAACACAAAATTCACCCTGGCTGCCACGCCGGCCTCGACCCCACCGGCAGCGAAGACGACCAACGCAAACACGACAAGAACGACCTTCAGGCGTCTCGCTGCCATGGCAACGACTCCCGTGGCCATGGCGAGATGAGTCGTCCTCGAAGTCGTTCTCGAAGAAGCAAAACCCAAGATTTTTGACGTCGGAGACTTCCCGAGAGAAAAAAAAAATGGCGCCAAAAGTCGTGATTCTTCTTGTTCTTCTTCTTCTCTCTCTTCTCTTGTCTTCTCTTCTCTCTCTCTTTTTTTTTTTAAGGAAAGGGAGAGGAAGAATGTGGCGTCTAGGTCTCAGGAAGACCCCGAGAGCTCTGGCGGAGAGGAACTTCGTCGAGGCTTATATAGGGCGTGGTGGGTGGGAGGAGGGGGGGAGGGGGGGCTAGAGGGAGAAGGGAGAGATGGGAGAGGAGTGGAGGGAGAAGGGGGGGAGTGGAGGGGGTAGAGGGGAGAAGGGGG